GAAAGAGAAAGGAAGGAAAGAGGAAAGAGAAGAAAAGAGGAAAGAAAGGAGAAAGAGAGGAAAGAGAAAGTTAGAGGAAAGAGAAAGAGAGAAAGAGAAAGAGGGGGAGAGGAAAGAGAAAGAGAGAGAGGGGAGAGGAAAGGGAAAGGAAAGAGAGAGAGAGAGAGAGAAAGAGGAAAGAGAGGGAGAGGAAAGAGGCATAAAATAATTCATTTGCATTTAATTGTAATGGTTCAAAGAATGTTCGGAAAAATGTTCGGCCCTCCAGCACATTCACTTCATCCAATCTGGCCCTCTTTGAAAAAAGTTTGGACACCCCTGGCCTACATCTACAATATACTCTGGGAACTATTAGGGAGGAGCTGTCTTCACTCTCTTTCTCAGACACAAAATAACTGGGCTGAGTTGTCTGTTCCTCTTCTGGAATTCATCCCCTCCTTCCTGGGGATCCACCTCCTCACTACATCCCATCACATCTTGATACTTGCTATAATTGGTACACTTTCCTTTCTTGTTCATTTGTCCTCTCAGACTAGAGAGTGACCAGTGCTGTGGCTTCATAGTAGAAGCTACAAGACACCTCTCCTAAGGAGAACTTCTAGATTTTTGTCCCAAAACACAGCCTTGCAGCGCAGGTCAAAGATGGAAACCAGGGGTTCAGGAATGAGAAGGAAGGTGGGACCACCTTCTGAAAGTCATCCATATATTCATATTCAGAACTTGTTATGGGTATCTTCTCATATGGAAACCTTCTTGTAGCTGAACTTGGTTTCTTGTAAGCAATTGTTCTCCATTCTCCAGGCATTACCACAGTATGGATGAGTTCAGCCATTATGACTTGCTGGATGCTACCACTGGGAAGAAGGTGGCTGAAGGCCACAAAGCTAGCTTCTGTCTGGAAGACACCACGTGTGACTTCGGGAACCTCAAGCGCTATGCCTGCACATCACATACCCAGGTAGGTTTACTTCTCAGTAAATCTCTTCTCAGAAATCTCAGTGAAGCTAATGCAAGAGAGATAATAATTTAATGATTGAAACATGGGGAGATGTCTTTTTTTTTGGCCATTGTTTCTGTCCTCCAAGACCTATGGAGGTATGCTGTCAATATTATGATATTACCAGAGAGTCAAGATTGACATTTTGGACCCAATTGTTGGGGTTTTGAAGAGTCAGTGGGGTTACTTAGAACTGGTGCATTAAGGCTATCTAGGGTTAGGCACATCTCTTTAGGAATGGGTGTTTAAAATTGTGCTACATAAAAAGGGCAGTTTGCTGCAAAATCTGAGCAGCCCAGTCTTGGAGGATTTCAGAGGCTGCAAACCTCTCCGTTTTTAGCAAAAATGTGTGTGTGTGTTTGTGTCTGGAGTCTGAAGATCCAGTTAAGCTGATTAGCAGTTGAAATCCTAGTCTTTATCCTTGATGGAAAAGGAGAAGGAAGAAGAAAGAGGGGAAGAATGGAGAAGGAAAAGGATAAGGAAGAAAGAGGAGAAGGAAGAAGAAAGGAGAAGGTGGGGAGTAAGGAGGAGGAGGAGGAGGAGGA